GTTTGCTGCTGGTTTGAGGCGTTCCTAAATATCCCCGACGGGATATTTAGGAACGCCTCAAACCAGCAGCAAACACTGCCACGTGCCCTAGTTCTCCCCCCATCCCCCATCCCCCCTCAAAGTGGCCTCGATTGGAAGGAATCTCTTGCCCAAAGTGTCAAAGACAGTGTTGCGGCAATTGTTTAAGTTTAGTTGTTGTTGGAAGTTTGTCAGTTCTATGGTTCACTCTTCTGCTCCCCCCTGTTCATCCAAAGTTGGTTTGCCCCTAGGAGTTGTATCCTCCCCTGATCTGCCCTTCATTGTAAAGCCAGCTCCTTATTCCCAAGCCTTCCCTGCCTGTCACCACAACCCTGCCCCTACCCCTTGTCCATCATTGTAAAGCCTGCCCTTTGTTCTGGATCCTTCCCTGTCAACCCCCTAAGCCTCGAGGCCTCATTGGCCTGCATGACCGGTCCTCTATTCCCCCTCATCCCTGATGCTTCCTGCATTGGAACGCCCTCCCTTCGCTACTTCCTCCTGGATTCCCCATTGGCTGTTTGTTTGTACCCGAGCACAAGGCTCAAAGCTTCTGCCTTTGGCACTGATAAACCAAGGTAGTTCCACACACCTGACGTGGCTGCTGGTGTGTTTCTCTGAGCTAGCCTGGGCTCCGGCAGAACTGCGTCAAGCGTTTGCTGCTGGTTTGAGGCGTTCCTAAATATCCCCGACGGGATATTTAGGAACGCCTCAAACCAGCAGCAAACGCTGCCCTGCTCTGCAGGCTCAGGGCAGCAGAAGGAGCCCCCAGGGCTGCCGACGCAGCCGCAGCAGGAAGGGCACGGGGCCTTGCACAGAAGCTGGCACGGCCTCCTTGGGACACGGCCCGGCTGGTGGCCATCCTAAACCTGCCCAGGGTGTGACACAGACAAGGAACGTGTGGGCCAGGCCACGAATGCTGCTCTGAGCCCTGCGCCACTGGAGTTTCCAGTGTCCTTCTTTCTTACAAGATGCACATTGCTTCAGCCCCAACTTAGTCTGAGGCTGGTTTGAACTTCCTCCGCCTCTGGTATTTTTGCCCCTGTCTCATCCATGCCCATGTCCCCTGCCCTGGTGCTGATCCAGAGCTACCCCTATGGCTGTAGTGAGTTCTTTCTCTTTTCGTCTCTATTACTGTACACCTGCTATGCTTTTTTTCATGAATGCCTTGAAGTCCCTATTTACAGGCTCTTCTGGCTTCTGAAGTCTCTGTCCGATATCTGGGCTGGATTTCCCTAACATCAGGGATACTAACTGCTGCTTTCCCACGTCTGGTAAGGGATCTAGGGCTGTCTATTAACACACAGCTGCTCAGAGCCTGTCCACAAAGTCAGTGGCTGACTCATGCTGTCCCTGTTTAAAATTATTACTGATCAATTTATTGCTTTCAAAACGGCATTTTTTATTTTAAATTTGACCATTTCTCTGTGGCAGCAGACAGAGGTGGTCAAGGTGGCACAACCTTCCCAGGGACGCGTCTCCTGTGGCACTTCCCCCGGGCACCCTGGCACACTTGCCTTGCCCCCATGATTCAGCTGCGAGCCCTTCAAAGGGCTTTTGGAATGGCCGCTGTTCCTTGGGTGCCACCAAGGAAAAGAGACAGGAGGTGCCGTGTGGGGTTTCAAGGAGGTCTTTATTCTTCTCTCCCAAAGGGTTCCCGAGACGAGAAGTGCCCTTGGCTCAGTAAGAGCAGGGATTATATAGGAAAAGCAGGGGGTGGGGTGAAGCTACAGGGACAATGGTCTGTGGATTCTGGGGCGGAACAAGGGGGAAGGGACAACAGGGTACAAATAATATGCATACAGGGGGAAGGACATGTTAGGCACCACTTAACATGTCCCTGTAACAACAAAGGCTCTCCATCGAGACCTTGCCCTTTGAGGGAGAGCAGCTGGTAAAAGCCTGGAGGCTCTCCCTCCAGGGGAGAGTGGCTACAGGATCAGTCAGTTTGTCAGCCTCCAGAACTGTTTCCTCTTTTTTAATTGAAAAAAGCCTCCCCAACAGCCTTTTTGCCAAAATGTAAAAAACATGAAAACATTAGTTAAACAATAAAAATAACCAAAAGAATCCACAAAACATTATTAAGAAAAGAACCTACCCATCCCTTGATCCTCAGGTGTCCAAATTGATCTTGACACCGCTGAGGGGGCTTCTCAGCCTGGGGATCTTCAACTTTGTTTTGGATCCTCTGGATGCTAGTGTGGATGCTTTCCAAGTGGGACGATAACTTGAAACA